CTCAGTTTCTCATACTAGGAAAGAGTTAAATATTTAAAATATATTTCATTCATCTGAAAAGAACACATACCATTATCAGACCCATGGGGGTTCCACAGGTTACAGGATCCTGAACTTAGGTTCAGGAGAAGAATTCAACATTCGTGTGCTTGTCCTTGCCTCAGCTGAATTTTCTTGTTTGCTTCTCCTCTGTCCTTACCTAGTCTGCATCATTCCCCATGGATTCCTGTCCCCTCTGTTCATAGCTGCCACATGTTGATAGACAGCTACTTCTTTAACTTCTGCAGTCCAGCAGATCCTGAAACTCAGCAGTTTTGATTTTTTTTTTTTTTTTTTCCAATTTAAAAATGTAATCATCCTGTCACTTGTACTGTCCTCGTGTTCTAGTTCAGGTTCAGACACTCTAACAGATTCAGAGATATCAGGTGGAGACATTTCCTATTTCATTCTAAGCTTCTGTATCTGCTTTAATTTGCTTAAGGCAAAATATTTTTACAGTATGATTTGGAAATAGAATTTAATAATTAGACGGTTCTGGTGCATGTTGCAATCATTCATAGAGCTTAGGGGTGTAGCTGGCAATTGGCATCTATACGCGCACATACAAGCATGCACATACACACTTACATGCATTTTAACACCCGCCATCCCTGCAATCTGCTAGAATATACACCCCATTATGCACACACAGGCTGTTCTGTTGCACAGTGAGACAGAGACACTAATGTGTCAGTAAAGAAGCTGAAAAGAAGTCTTGCTTTGTCTTCAGAAAACATCTTGGAGAGAGAGGGTGAGAAAAAATTACTTCATAGAGAAATTCTGCAGCAGGGAGAGATGAAGGAGCAGGAAAGAAAAAACATATTGTGAAAAAGAGATAAGGAGGGGGAAAAAAAGGGAACCTCCTAAATGCACTGTTGAATATGTGTGAATATTGGAGTTGTAAAGACTATCACAGACAAAAAGAGGAAAAGATTCAAGATGGTGGAAGAAGGAGGGGAGGAGAGACTGAATTGTCATGAAATAGATTGGAAAAATGACCTGCAGGGAGGAGAAACAGAGCAGAAGGGGCTTAAAAGCATGAAAATAATTGGGTGGGGAGGGGTTGCAGTGGTATCTGTGCAGAAAATGATGATGTAGGGGTGGAGTAAAAATGAATACAAAATAAAAGGCAATGACTGCAAAGGGAAAAGCAATAGTGCACAGACTACTAAAATTTAGGCACTTTTGGCTTTGTTCTATCACCTGTATTTCATACTCTAAAGCAAGAACCTGGTAAAAGTGAGAAAAATAAGTTAATGTAAATTAAGGAAGTGCAACATTTAATGAGAGAAGGGTTGTAGAACTGGCTGAAGTCCAGCGGACCACTGTCTCGTCATTCTTTGAAAAGGTGATTAAATACAGAAAACTAAAAGCTGTATTGTTGTCTTCTCCTCCCACCTTTTTTTTTTTTAAAAAAAAAAAAAAAAAAAGAGAAGTAAGGAAAGTAATAACTTGTTGGATTTATTTTGTGAAATGTCTTTGTCCTTTTCATGTTTGTTTGAAAATTTTCAGTACAAATTATTTACAAATAATAAAACAATCCTACTTATTTTCATAAGCGTCTGTACTAATAACATTCTTACTTAGTAAAATGAATTAAACATGACCTGCATAATAGCTAAATATTTGTCATGGTAATGTCTTTTTGTGAGAGATGAATTATTCTGAAGCACTCAAATCATACAAAATAAATCCCAGAATGTGTTATTAGGAGGTAAAATAAAAAAATGGATAGGGCTGTTGCGTTTATGCAGAGGCACCATAAGAAAAGTAGAACATTCCCCCATCCTAATCACATACAGTTGCTTTTCAAAAAGCTTGCACATAATTTTGTGAACAAGAAAGCTTATGCATTGTAGGGGGCTTACATTTTTGAACGCTTACCAGAACTGGCCAGGAAAGTCAGGTATGTTGCTGTATAAACTGTGAGCTAGATATGGTTTGTTTTTTCAGGCATGCTGAATTTTGTGTTCAACTATATTAATACATGTACACAGACTTTGAAAACTAGGTCATCAGTGGGACAGCATCTTTTTATGATGATAGATAGTCTGAATGTATGAACAACCAAAATAATTTCCATGCATACTGTGAATCATATCCCTATTTTATCCCCAGTTTTCACTTTTTCCTTATATAAGCAAACTCCTATTGATTTCAAGCAGATTTTACTTGAATAAGGACTGGGGAGGGACTGTGGTATTTTGCCCTGAGGATTTTATAAGCTAGTATGAATCACAAGAATTTGGAGACAATATATTTTAAAATGATTTCCTCTCAAGTGCATTGCTACATACTGTGTGTTACTAGGAGCCATGTGAATGTTGTTACCATATGGATGGATAAACATCCTCTTTCTCCCATTCCCTGTTCAGTCATTTTTCAGAGCCTCCCTAGTTTTCTTGGCAGGTTGTTGTTGCAGAACTACTATTGATGGGACTCTTCAGCCCATGCACCTTGATTCTCATGCTCCATCTGAAGAGCCTGGTATCCAGCTTTTCATTTATCCACAGCCTTCTTTTGAAGACAGCCCCCCTCGGTATAAATTCTGACAGTCTGCATCAAGGCCTCAATCTTCTTTCTCTTGCCATGGAGCTTGTGATCAACAGCAAGAAGTCAGTTCTGTCTCCCTTATGTCTCTAGAGCTTTTAGAGCTCTGAAAATACAAAGAGCATGACCCTGGGATTTTTATTTATTTATTTATTTATTTTCCAGGAAACGAATAAAGAGGAACTTGTCAGTCAGTCTTTTTGAAAGCAAATTCTGGCAGAGATGCTACAGTCTGCAGCTGTCATTGGGCTAAAGGTATAAATATGGCCCAAACGTGAGGCACAGTGTAAAGCAGGGCTCAAATTAATGCAAGAAGTTGGTCAAAAAGTTTCTGACCTTGAACAGTAGCTTCTGTGAATCAGGACGTATGCGTACTGCCAGTTACAATGTACTGCTCACAAACCTTTCCAACAGAGACCATACGCCTTGGGATTTTGGCAACTATATGCTATAGTGCTGTACGTGGGAAAATAGGTATTTTTGTCTCTCAGCCAGAGCCTAATGTATTTGAGCAGTTTTACACTGATTTCAGGAAAAAGCCAATTGAGATAACAAGCTGCATTTTAAATTACCAGATACATGAAGGTGTTTTTGACACTTACAGGTTTACTTATTCTTAAATAGATTAAAGTGAAAATTCAGATTTTTTTTTTCCAAAAATGCTGTGATTTTTGTTGATTTTTTTTTTTTAACATTTTTGAAACCACATAAATTATAGATGTAGATATGTTTGTCCAAATGGATTCTTTTAATTTCCAATAGAAATTTAATATACCTTACCTGGTAATATATTAAGAAATGATTGAGAAGCAAAGTCAAATAAATGAATGAAAAAACAACCTGCTTTTTTAGCCTTGTCACTTGGATGTCAGTGTAAAAATAGGGCGAATACCAGAAATTTACAAATACAGGTAGAAAAAACAATGTTACTCACACAAGTGTTCTTGAAAAAAGTAATTACTATTCAAGAAGTGAGAAGGGAATATAGTATGCTGCTTACTAATCAAGTATTGCGTATTTGTACACCACTCAAATTATTTTCTTTAATGCCTGTGCAAAATATATCTTCTCAGATGTTATCAAATATGCAAAACAATATATTAAAAAAAATCCTCCAACCTTTTGCATAATTATTTCTGATAGCAGATGTAGATACTGTATCTGCATAAATTACAGCATTGTTCCACAGTGCTTCTGCATTTAAATTATGTCAGTCAAGGGCAATATTAAAGGTTGCTTGGCTCCCAGTCCATTGGGTAGGGTTATTTCTAGAGATACATCCTTTTTGATATAGCTAAATTATTTTCTAAGTGCTTGTTTTTTAGCTATAATTAATCCTTTGCACTTCTATAGCTGTTCCATTAAGAATCTTATAACTAATGAATTAAATCTGACAAAATCCCATTGGAGTTGCGTTTACTTTATTAGCTTTAAAATTCTAATGGAAATAGCTATAGATGGTGCAAAGGATTCAGGATTATTAAACTAGAAGGTCAATAAATATCGCATCCATTTTACAGATGAGTAAACTGAGGCAGTGGGAGGTTAAATGATTAGTGTTGTAAAGGAAAGTATGTTAGGAAGACAAAAATAGAAGCATGAACTTCAATCGTGCAGTTGCACTAGATGGAAATACTATAGATTTTTACTGTTTCGTATACACCAGAATTTATTTCTACTTGATTCATGACCTGTAGTTAATTGGTTTTGTCTATAATTGCAAGAATGGCATTATCGTATTGAAAAGTGCCAACACTACATCTGAACTGTTTTTTTTACTAAGTTTGTTTCCTTCTTCCTTTTCCCTAGTTTGTGTGACATTTTAGAGCAGATGTGTTCTCTTTCTTTAGAAAAACTGGAAGTATTAATTCAATCTATAGCTTCAGAGATGGAAAAGAGTTAATAGAAACATTAATAAGTACAACCTTAATAGGATTTGAACTCACAACCTTTGAAATATGAATTAGAAATTTATCTGGTAGTCTACACAGTCTTTCATTAGCAACCATGGGAATTTACAGGTGTTAAATTAGTTATGGAATAGTGGAGCATTTCTCTGAATGCAATAAAAACATAATGAGAACTACAAGGAAATAAATTAATTCTAAGAAAGAAATCTAATATAAGGGCAACAAAGTTCAAATAAAGCCTGCTCCCTAGTTTCTAACAAGATCTGTGAAATGTCACCAATATTAGACTTAATATTGCATTGTTATGTTTCACTTGTTGAAATATTTTCATTATATGCAAACTTAACTGAATTTTTAGCCTTCTTTTTATTTTTTTTTCTTTTTTTGAGTATTTAATATTTCCATTTAGTAGTTTGCCTATTGAAAAAATACTGTACTTTAATAGAGTAGAATTACAGCTTGGTCTGAAGCTGCAGATAATGGGAAACTCACTGTTCACAGGTGTTGATGAGCCAGGAAAGGAGTAGCACAGAGCTGCTGGAAGTAGATGGAGCACAAAGCCCTGCAACCCCCTTTGGTGGGGAGGAAGGGAAAAGGGATCAGCCAAGTATCTTTATGTTTGAGGTATGTGACAGCATTAGAAATCTTGTGTAAAAGCATGTTTTTACTTCAAGGGCATTAAAATATTGTTATCCCAGTTGGCTAATGTAGAAATTGAGAAACATGACCAAAAGTACAAAAGCTTAAACTTTACAGTGGGAATGCATTGGGCTGTGCTATGGGATTTCATTTTATTAGCTTACCTTTAGCTCTTATGCTCCATTTCTTCCTTCTGATTTTAGAAAACAAAAACTCAGGTGTAAAGTATTTTCAGTCAAGAAATACAACATTACAAGCTCAGTGAAGGAAGAACAAAGAAACTTGTTACAGAGACTTATAGATGATAGGTCAGGAAACAGCTCTGTTACATCAGCAGATCTATGCAATACACGTCTATGTAGGACATTTTGCTCCATTATTCCCTGAAGGGTCTTCTCCAGTGTATTACAGTCTGTGTATATTGCTAACACAGTTGTAATGAATGAAACAAATTGTTCTTCTTAGTGGAAAGAAGAGTTCCTAGGCACACAGGAATAGTCAATACTGAGAGATTAGCATAGATTGCCAAAAATCAGATCAATATAGATGCGTTATCAATTACTGGGGTCTCTCTGTATCTTTTGACAAAGCAAAGGCTGAACAGTGAGGGAGAATGCAGTACAACATGTAGGGTTACCAGAGGGAGAGGCATGGACAAGACATAACTCGTGTAATGGAGCTTAAGCTTCACATTTCTTTATTAAAACTGCCTGTGCCATGTACTAGCTCTAGATGCTAGTATATTGTTTGCAAAAATGGATGTACCCAGTTTTAAGCTCAAGAGCTTATGAATCATAAGCTGCTATGTTATCTCTGTTCCTCATTTTCATACATCCTATACAAACCTAAACAATGTTGGGGAAAAAAAATAAATAAATAAATTTAGACATTCTACACAGACGGCTGTCAGGTGGAGAGTGAGAAAATGACCAAACACAAAATAATGCCTGGCTTTCTCTTTCTTCTTGGTTGAGAGAGGTGGAGAAAACTCCTGGATTGTGGTAACCTCTTTTTTTTTTTTTTTTTTTTCTTCTTTCTTCTCTGAATTACTTCCAAAGTAGCTCTGATCATTAGGGAGTAGATAATAATTTCAAAGCTTTATCCCTTGAATATTCTGGAATACTTAATCAACTAGATGAAAATAAGTTCAGCTTCTCTAAATTTATCCTGCAAGTTTCCTCTCTCCAAGAATTCTTGATCATCATTTACAGTAACTAGGTTGAGCAGAGTGAAGGTCTCCAACCCCTAAAACAAAGCAGGGAGGAATACCCAGCTGTGTTAGGTAACTTTTACCTAGTGAGTTAAGGTAGCCTCTTCTGCCAGGAAGCTCTGCTTGTTGTGAGCAGAGTGTGCTTGTGACAGTACTGTCTCACCTCTCCTCATAGTGCTTGCTTAAACCAGTGAATCCTGCTAGATTTGTTCTGGGACGTTTACATTGCGGGAACTGATTGTCAAGTTAAACTCTATGGCTGTGTTGCTTTTCCTTCATTCTGTGGTAGTCATTGTTCTTTTCTAGCCTTTTCTACTTGCTAACATTCATTTTATACCATGCTGTATCTTCAGTGTGGCATCCTGTAGTAAATACAGTGAAACTACAATTGTTGGCAGAGAACACTACTTAGGGTAAAGTAGTTATTAACCTTGAATTCAATTGTATTGAATGACTTCAAATGGATTAGAAGTCTCTTCAGGTCCCTTAGAATTACATTATTTATATAGAAATATATTGTTTTTATATATTTATATATATGCATAAATATATGCATTATTTATATGGCCCATATGGAGTATATTCAATGTAATACATTTTGGGAAAATACTTGGGAAAAATGACATTTTGTGAGTTCTCAATAATTACGGATGAAATATGCACTGCTGTTTCCTATATTATTTAATAAAATATACTGTTTTCATTTGTTGTATCAGTCAGGCAGTGGCGTTCAGATAATTCAGTATTCACAGGCCTTGCATATAAAATATTTTTAATTTGGAGATTTAAGACTGTATAGCTTCATTACTTTAAAAGCAAAGCTATAGGCACACACATCACTGTGTAGCTTTATGTCAAAAACCAAAGGAACAAGTTATATTATTTTAATTATTAGGAAAAAATGGTCATACAAACCACAGTAATTTGAAAAATATCATAGAATCATAGAATCATAGAATATCCTGAGTTGGAAGGGACCCTTAAGGATCATCAAGTCCAACTCTTGACACCGCACGGGTCTACCCAAAAGTTCAGACCATGTGACTAAGTGCACAGTCCAATCTCTTCTTAAATTCAGTCAGGCTCGGTGCAGTGACCACTTCCCTGGGGAGCCTGTTCCAGTGTGCAACCACTCTCTCCGTGAAGAACTTCCTCCTGATGTCAAGCCTAAACTTCCCCTGCCTCAGCTTAACCCCGTTCCCGCGGGTCCTGTCGCTGGTGTTAATGGAGAAAAGGTCTCCTGCCTCTCGACACCCCCTTACGAGGAAGTTGTAGACTGCGATGAGGTCTCCCCTCAGCCTCCTCTTCTCCAGGCTGAACAGGCCCAGTGCCCTCAGCCGTTCCTCGTACGTCTTCCCCTCCAGGCCTTTCACCATCTTCGTAGCCCTCCTCTGGACACTCTCCAACAGTTTCATGTCCTTTTTACACTGTGGTGCCCAGAACTGCACACAGTACTCGAGGTGAGGCCGCACCAGCCTACAAGTCCTGTCTGATAATAGTTAAGACTATTTTCTCTGTAAAAGCCTAGTAGTCACTTTAAACCTATAGGATGGTTCACACTTTGTAGAATTAAAATAAGCAAGCAGCTAGAGAAGTCAAGAACAACAACAGAAATTGATTTCAAACACTTCTGATATTTCCCATGTTTCTGGAATGCCTTTTTTACTCCAAACTTTGAGTTAGTCTCTGCTACTCTGCTTCACTGCATTTCATCATTTGGAAAGATATTTTTACATCCTTTAAAATTATTTTTCTAGTTTCTTGCACAGTCTGGATGTAGATCTTTCTGTTAGATAGATGAGGGGCTTTTTTTTTTTTTTTTTCTTTTTCTTTTTTTTTTGGAGAGGAGTGAGGCAGGAGACTTGAGAAGAAGCAAGTCACTCAGGGGCCTGTGGTACCTCTACAGGAGGGCTTAATTCCCTCCTCGGTGCTGTCTACCAGCAGGCCGCTGGCTTTAAATTTGTCTCTAGCCTTCAAAATTTTGGCTAAATGATTTCTCCTGGGTCTAGATGTATCTGACTCCTTTCTGTTCTTCTAACTGTAACTGTTTGCAAGTCTTGTTTCAAACTGGGGATGTGGGGAAAGCTCTGTCCTGATGTTCTGACTCGTCAGTGTAAAGTATGAGCCCCCGCTTCCTCTTTGTTTTTTCCCCTCAGGCTTTTACCAAATGATAGAAACAGTTCCAAAACAGTTCCAGGTGACCTTGTGTCCACTATGAGGTCATCCCTTTAAAAAGCAGTGTTTTTTCTTTTCTTTTTTTTTTTTTTTTTTTTTTTGTTTTCTGTAATGTTTTTCTCAGCAATGTGTTTCTAAGCAGTCTGCTAAATAACCTGTAACACTTAAAAACTTATATCTGAATTATCCGCTCAGTTACAGTGGTGCAAACCCAATGATTTCTGTCCTTGTTTCTGTGGTTAAGTGAGTGGGACAAGCAGCTATTCACCGTGCTCTGTTTTTTCCCTGCTGATCTCCTATAATTGAGCTGGTTCCTTCTCCCACGTACTCTGTCATGCAGGTACATTAATTCAATTCATATAGAATGAGCTTTTTTCCCTGATCCTCTAGATGAGCTCAGCTCTGCCTTCTGAACTCAACCTATTATTCAGCGTGTCTTGCAACCTGGCAAATCTCTGATTTTAGTGATTCCTCCTATACCCTGCTTTTTGTCTCATGCATTCATTTTATTCTTTCCTGATTTTTTTTTTAATGTGGCTTTCTTTTATAGATAATGTTCCTGTCCTTCACATACACAAGTTTTGATTGAATTTTTTAAAACATTTTTCCCTTCTCACATTTTTATGCCTCCATCTTCATTTCAAGGTCCCCTAACCTGTTACCTTTATATAAGAGAATGCTAATTCATTTTTTCCTTGCAATATTTTCTGCTCTTTATTTGCTTTGTTCCAGTTTGATATAGCACTGTGTTTTGATCTGTCAGTGATTTTGTATATTTTTATTTATGTTCCTGAGGCGAGCAAAATTTCACTGGGGTAGTAGTATTGTGAATGATCAGTGCAGCCATTAATCACCTGCTTTCTGGAATCACAGGAAAACATGTCTCTCTCTAAATTTTGGAGCAGCAGCCTTGTAGAACTGAGCTCAGAGGTCGAGGTGCATGCCCCTTATCTAAATGAGTGAATTTGAATAATGCTAGATAGGCTTTTCTCTAGTATTTATTGTGGTGGAGTCAGTCTTGAAATGCGTATGAAATGTGGCAGAAAAGTAATGAAATCACAGAATCACAGAATTTCTAGGTTGGAAGAGACCTCAAGATCATCGAGTCCAACCTCTGACCTAACGCCAACAGTCCCCACTAAACCATATCCCTAAGCTCTACATCTAAACGTCTTTTGAAGACTTCCAGGGATGGTGACTCCACCACCTCCCTGGGCAGCCTGTTCCAATGCCTCACAACCCTTTCAGTAAAGAAGCTCTTCCTAACATCTAACCTCCTATCTAGAACAAAAAGGGAATGGAAACAACAAGTTTAAACATTTCCTATCTTTCCTTTTTGACTGGAATTTGTATGCATTGAGAACATCTCTCAATATTTTTCCTGAAATCAGGAAAATTTTCATATAGCCACCTGCTATGCTGTTTTGTTCGGTTCTCTCAGAATGATCACTTAATGGTTTGAACAGTGGTATTGCACACTGTATCTTGGGCTACTGTAAGGATCACTTTTAAATATAGCAGTGCTTTCCAGACTGAAAAGTTAATATTTTAGCATGACATACAGCACTGACGAATGGCAGTCTGTAAGCTCAGTACAGAT